GGAAAGATGAAGTAGCTAGCTGAGCAGGAAGGAAGGCAACATGTGAGGTAGCCTAATGATTCCATCAGGTAAAATTTGTTTGGTAAGCCACTTTCCTGGTTCCTTCCCCCAGGTACATTAGAATTATCAAGAAGAAGTGCTGTCTTTATATTTCTTTTAAACTGCCTATTCTCTCCTCCCCTTTTCTCTGCCTCTGATACCACCATAGGTACAGGTTCATTGGCTGTCTCTCAAAATCAGATCCCAGCCAATGACAGGATTTCTATAAACTACTTTCAACATTTAGCAGCCTGACGTCTACTGTTCTTTCAGATGTCCTACTTTTCTAGACTACTTCCATTTAATATACTTTACAATTCTACTGTAGATTAGAGCTCCATGCTCCTTAATATGACCACTTGACTCGAATGAGTGTACATTTTCAAGAAAAAAATTAAACAACCTTCTGCTAATACCCCAAAATAACATTAAAAAGTGTTTTGCTGATTCACTGTAGGCCCTAAATGAAGTAATGTAAATAACGTCATCATTTTAAGTCTCACACAATTAAGCAGATTCTTTGGAGACTACTTCAATGGGACAACAGCCTCTAATTTAGGTTACAGTTCTAGGTTCATCTGCTTACTACTTCACACACATTGAGTGTAGGTTTTTTGTTTTTATTATGGTAATAGGCACCTGCTTAAGTGCTGCTAATGCAGTGGCAAGCAAAACAGAAAGGGGCCCTATTCTCACAGAATTTATGTCTGTGTAAGAAAATGACATTCATCAAACAATTGCACTTTTGAATATACAGTTGACTCTTGAACAACACAGATTCGAACTGTGTGGGTCCACTTATATTTAATTTTCTTCAATAAATACTGTAGATATATTTTCTCTTCCTTCTCTAGCCTGTTTTATTGTAAGAAAATAGTATATAGTAGATATAACATACAAAGTGTATATTAATCAACTTTTTATATTATGGGTAAGGCTTTCAGTAAATGGTAGGTTATTAACACTTAAGCTGTTTGTTTGTTTGTTTGTTTTTGTTTTTTAGGGTTTTGCTATAGAGCATGTGCCCTTGCTGGAGAGAGACAGTGAATGGGAATGTGAGAAATCACACCATAGAGGGGATGGCCATGCCACTACCCCTTCTCCATTCTCCTCCTGGTATTTTGGACATACATGCACATGTGCCTGGCATAATTTTCAAGCTGCCAGGTCTTGGATTTAAACCACGGTTGGCCATAAGGGAGTCCAGCACCTTTACCACCATGCCACCTGCTAGCCCAATACTTAAGTTTTGGTGAAGGTTATACTTGAATTTTGGACTGCACAGGAGGTCAATGTCATAAAATCTTGAATTGCTTGAATGTCAACTGTATAAGTACAAAATGAGGTAAGTGTCGTCAAGAAAAAAAGCAGAATTCCAAGAAAACTTTTTATAAGGAATCTAATTTGACTAGATGTCAAGGAAAACATTTATAAAAAGTAATACTTAAGAAGAAATCTAAAGGATGACTAGACGCTAATTAGACAAAAGGGTTGGTGAGGTGGGTGATGGGAAGCAAAAGGAAAACTTAAAAACTGAGGGGCTAGTATGTGAAAGGTCCTATGTTGAGAGGTATATTAATTTCCTATAGCTGCTGTAATGTTACCACCAACTTGGTGATTTAAGCAATGCAGACATAATTTATATTTTTGGAGGTTCAAAGTACAAAGAGGTTTTTTTTTATCACATTTAAAATAAAGGTGATGACAGTGTTGTGCT